TATATATATATATATATATATATATATATATATATACAATCAATGACGTTTTCCTTAAATTCGAAGAAAGTTATGGTATCATTGAACTTAAAATACCATTGACAGGAAGCCTGTTTAAGTTTGTATATTGATTTCCTTAACTTACACACCATGTGTTCCTTTCCTTCAACTAAAAAACTTTCAGCCTGATCCATATAGACTTCTTTATCTAAATTTCCATTTAGAAAGGCGATTTTCACAGCCATTTGATGTAGCTCTAAGTCATAATGAGTTATTAAAGCCATAATAATTCCGAGTGAGTCTTTCTTAGAGATTGACGAAAATGTCTCCTTATAATCAATGCAACTTTTCTGAGTAAAACATTTGACAACAAGCCTAACTTTGTATCGTTCGATATTCCATTAGAGTCACGCTTGGTCTTAAAGACCCATTTATACCCAACTCTTTTACATGATTCTAGTAATTCGACGAGATCCCAGACTTCAGTATGTTCCATAGATTTCAACTCATCTTTCATAGTATCTAACCACTTATCAGAATTAGCATTGTCAATGTCCTGTGAAAATAAAACTGGATCATCATCAACAATTCCCAAGTCAAATTCAGACTCTTACAGATAAACCACATATCATTAGAAATAGCAGGTATACGTTGTCTTTGTGGCCTTCTTAATGCTTTTTCTTGTGGTTCATTTAATGCAGGTTCATCAATGGCAACTTCATTGTGGGATGTTTGATCATTTATTTGTTGTTCGGGTAAATTGTCATGCCGTTCAACAATTTGAGGAACAACAACATTAGAAGAAATTGATGATAGAGAAACTTGAACTCTAACTTTTTGTATTTCTTCATTTCGTAGTTCCAAACTCCCACTAACTTCACCATTCTCAATGAACCTAGCATTTCCAGTTTCAATAATTCTAGTACTATGGTTAGGACAATAAAATCTATACCCTTTTGATTTTTCTGGATAACCAACGAAAAATTCACTGATTGTTCTTGAGTCCAGTTTCTTTTCACGTGGATCATAAATTCTTGCTTCTGCCGGACAACCCCAAACATGCAGGTGCCTTAAATTGGTTTCCTTTCCGTCCACAGTTCAAAAGAAGTTTTTGGAACTGGCTTATTAGGAACCCTGTTTTACACATACACAACAGTCTTTAATGCAAATATCCACAAGGATATGGGTAAAAAAGAATTGCTTAACATACATCTAACCATTTCTATTAGAGTACAATTACGCCTTTTAGCCACACCATTTTGTTGTGGTGTGCCTGTATAGTGTATTGAGAACAAATGTCATGTCTTTCAAGAAATTTAGCAAATGAACCAGGGTGTTGTCCAGTTTCATCATACTTTCTACAATATTCACCACCTCTATCAAATCTAATAATTTTCACCTTTCTGTCTAATTGCCGTTGAACTTCATTGACAAAAATCTCTAAAGCACTTATAGCTTGAGATTTTTCATGTAGCAGATAGATATCACCATAACGTGAAAAATCATCAATAAAGGTGATAAAATACTTTTCTTCACCAAATGATGGAACATCAAAAGGCCCACATATATCGGTGTGTATTATCTCAAGAAGCTGTGTGCTTCTTGTGGCTCCTTTCTTTATGTGTTTGGTTTGTTTACCTTTAATACAATCCACACAAGTTCTAGGATCACAAAAATTCAAGTCAGGAAATATTTCATTCTTTACCAATCTTTTTATCCTTTCCTTGGATATGTGACCCAAACATTTATGCCACAAGTTAGCAGATCGTTCATTCAGTACACCATGTTTAGTATCAACAGTATGATGCAAGGTCAAAAGAGTCTCGGCTAAGAGGTTATCAAGCTTTAATTTATATAAGCCATCACAAAAATAGCGAAACCAATGAGATGATTTTGTTTGAACAAATTTAAACATCCATTTTCACCATCTAAGAAATATCCAACAGAATCAAGT